AAAAAAAAAAAAAAAAAAAAAAAAAACTTAAGTCAGGTGCCCCGGCTATGATCTTTGTTACCAACGTTACATGGTCACATTCACACATCTTACCCTATCAGGAAAAGTGATACAGCAATCTCATGGACACATGCGCACATCCTTAGCCAGGGAACCTGACTTAAGTTTCTTTTTTTAACAGGGGTCAGGTTTTACTAAATGTCTAAGGTCAAAGGCGTGTAACCAATACTGTATATAAGCGAAATTAGATTTATTTCGATTCAGGATAAGTATGAGACACCAAGAAACACTATGTCCCCAAAGTCACTGATGTTCATTTCATTATTGAACTATAACGTCAAAGCTTTATTGTATTAACGCAAGTTTGAGGTAAGCACTGAGATCGGCTTAATTCAATAATTTTTAAGTCGTAGTATGGATTCGGAGAGGGTGGGGCAGAAATCAACTGTACGGTTCCCCAAAACTGTAACACGTAGAAAGCGGGTCGGCAGCCGGAGATGTAAAAAAAAAAATGTATGAAATATTCTGGATTGCACTTAACCCGTGCAGCTATGGAAAGGTTGCCGTAGCCTGACCTGTAGGTTAAAAATAGCCGTCACTATCAGACGATATTGGATGTCGAAAAACATAAGAACATTATAACTTTTCACCAATTGTGCGGCACGCACGGCCAACTGTCAAATGTAAAGAAATGGATTTGATTTTCCACTGTACCGTACATTGACTGCGCTTTAAGACATAATGATGGAGAAGGCTTTTTGTTGTTGTCGTCAATATTCATTTTAATAATATGTTTTACCATTTATTTTATTTCATATCTGTGACAATGTGTTTGATGCAATGTTGGGACAATACAAGACTAATTAAGCCAGTGTACATAAATTGGAATGCTGGCGAACTTCCGTTGAGATCGGTGAATTCTTTGAAATCAAAATTATATTATTCCAAATTAAAGTTATGGGTATCTTAAACAATGCAGTCTTCTGGTGGATAAAGATGACCCTTAACTTATAAATACTAAAATTCCTCTGTTATTCATCAGTGGTTTTAAATTTTTTACTGCATGTAGATATTGCTACACTGTTGGGTTTGATAACCTTTGTGAAACCTTGTGAGGATCAGTTATATTAATAATTTTAAAAATTACGATGCCAAAGCCACCCTTAAGCTTCCTGGGTTCTACCTGTAATCTTTTTTATAAAAAAATAAAGAATGATTTATATGTCATCTGCTGCAAAGCTGCATACCGTTCTCTGTTTATTACAGTATTATTTAATTAATTAATTAAGGTTACAGTGGAAGTAAAAGACACAGAGTAGATTTCATAAAATTGCAATTGATGAATTTTGATAAGTAAATAATTAGAGTCTGTACATTTTTTATCCACCTCTTATATATTTCAAATTGAAATATCACACCATCACCCTACTCTCCTTCTAGTATATCAAGTGCATATGTACAGTACTTTAAGCTGACGTCTTGATATCTAATTCCAATTCTCATTAATCTTGAAAACAGCAATTGAAGTTGTTAAAACACATAACTTCAATGCCATAATGTTCCGCGCGTTTCCTCGCCATAAGTCAAAATGGCCAGACCATCACAGGTGCTACGGTGAATACAGCTCGCATGTTGGAGGCCATCTTGCACGAAGATGAAAGACGTAGAGATGGATAGAAGGATGCCTTGTACCCTTTGATCAGAACGGTGACAAAATAGTGCAAGTCATTCTTCGTGAGACTCTGGGTTCAGCCGGTGCTGCAACAACACGAGCATGGAACTGTTATTTGTTACAGTACTGTGTGTGCCGTAATCAGTCGCGCCCTCATTTTTTTCTTTTGGTATTTTTCCCCTTATCCATCGATCTATTTTTTCTGTTTCTCATCTCTTTTTTTACTTTAATTTACGTTTCCTTTTTTACTTTAATTTACGTTAATATATTCTATGATTACTGCATCTATTTATACATTTGTTCATTCGTTCACTTCTTTATCTATCAAGCATTCATTCAATTTATTTACTTGAATAATCTATAGCGGATGAGGCGGGGCGCAGGAAAAACATGGAAGTAGTAGGAATAAATTATCTAAATGGATTTCGGATCTGGTACATGTATTTGACTTCATTTCCTTGGGAGGCAGATGTTGACATCTCAACCTTGTTACAAAGTTATTTAACAAAGATATAAAGGTATAACTGTAACCGGATATGAAGAATTTAACAAATGGCAGCAAGCACAGAAAATTGGATGACAGGATATGGTGAGGAAGAGGCAGGGTGGAAGCTATCTTTTAAGGGTTACTAATTGTGTTCAAGTGCACGAATAAAACATTGGGGGCGTTTGAAAATAAGAAAAGAGAAAATAGGATCCTGCTCAACGAAATAACTTTTTCAATAATCCAGTAATTTTTTTTACTTTAATTTAAAGTTGATTGTTGTTCACTTATTTATTCAAACACCAAAATTTTTAGTATATTTGGATCCTTAAAAAAGTTCCATGCTTTATTATTTTCTTTAAATCAAGGCCTTAGAGGTTGTATAACGATGGTAGCGACAGGACGTCACAGGCACTGTCATCAGTAACAAATTAGTACGTCACCAGCATGTCAGGTAATTTACCGTGCATGTGAAGCATTCGGTTTGCATGGTCTCCATGAAATAAGACGAACGACAGTGCAGTGTCGTACAGCTGAGAAGAAAAATGTTTTCTTAAGAAGTGATGTTGTATGTTGATACACAGCTGATAACCTTAACCATTTCTTTTTTAATCTTTATGCTATTAAAAGAAAACGTTAGCGTGAACAGATTTCAGCTGAGAACTTACTTGTAAGTCTCTGTAGTTGTAAAATGATATGTGCAGTTTTCAGAGGCGTGACGTGATATGTTGGCATTCAGACAATACATTGTCTTTTATTTTTGTTTTGACTTAACGCAACAGATGAAAGACTTCACAAAATTAAAAAAACACTGCTTAATTTAAAAACTCGACCCGAATTTTGCCTTGTTTCTTTACAGGTGAACTCTTCAACTTATGCTTAGAAAGATATATTCATGTTGACGACAACTGAGTCTATATCCAATCTGAAATAATTCCTGTCTGAACGGACCTTGAAAATAATAGAGAACCTCAAAGATATGTTGTAGACTTTTTAATAAACTAAAACAAGATTAATGTTTTTACAGGGCCTGTCAGCTGAGAGAAATGACTTGAATTACTGACTAGGACTATAACTTTATGTTGGTTTCAGATTATTTATTCATACTAGATCAATATGTTCAGTGAAATTAAAAGGTAACAAGCTCAGATGGTAACAAGTCAAGCGAGAATGTTTAATGAGAAGATCGTCCAATGACTTGAATATGGAATCCGTGTCAGCTTGCCGTGAAGGCAGCTAGTGATTGTGACTGCTGAGATGCCATGCGCAATGGCGTTGTGGTTGAGTTTCGATTTCTGAGCCCCCCCCTCTCTCTCTCTCTCTCTCTCTCTCTGCAGTTTTCTTCAGAAAGAACTAGCAGAAGTGAAGATAATAAAGTAGCACGATTTCTTTCCTAATGTCCCATGATATACTGTCTTACATAGCTATTAAAATCAAACGTATTTTACAAAGGTATTTTTAAAGATAAAAAAGGGTAATTCGTTTTATTAATTACTTGCATTGCCAGTAGGTGGGAGTACAAGTGCCACATGAAAATTTACTTGAGGCCGATTAACAATATCCACAAGGTCTCTGTGACCCAAGATTGCTTGGACAAAGATGTCCTTACGTGCTACATTTTTATCTTCAGCCTTTGCACTTACTAGTACTTATGGCTTTAATTAAACATGCCACTAACCCCGTGATTTATTATTAACTAAATTAAAACGTTGCTTCTTTTGTCTCTCCTTTTTATTCTCCAAGAATGTCTTTCAGATTTTTTCGGTTTCACTGTGTTCTAAAAGCAAAAATCGTAAATTGCCGATCAATTGCTCTATGGAATCTTTTATACGGTTTTTCACCTGTCATTATTTCCGGCGCTGTCTCCCCTTTATTGAACGTGGCCAAGAATACTCACGAAGATTTCATGCCGTCTTCTCGTGTGTTGTCGGAAATTGCTTGCGCTGCCTGTGGGAACGATCACAAGTGTCCACCGAACACTGACATGAGGCCGATAACTGTAATCCGATTGTCCTACATAGCTTGACCCAAACAGAGACACACAAAATCCAACAGCCATCAGAAACCACTTTAAAGATGTTTCAGTTTTTGGTCTGTTTCTCGTTACTTCTGGTCAGCTGTCAAGTGGGTCTGACCAATGGGCAGGGCCGTCTCATAGAGCCACCGTCAAGAAACTCTGCCTGGAGGTTTGGGTTCCATACGCCCGTCAATAATGCGGACGACCGACTTAACTGCGGCGGCCTTAAGGTACGTATATATGCCACATAAATACAACTGTTTTGACAATTTTTCTTTTTTCCTATTTCTACATTGTTTATTGTTATAGACATACATATCAATTGTTTTTTGAGATATACTAGAATGACCTACAGTTAATAAATATTAATAAAAAACTACATGTTGTTTACGATAAAAAGTGGAAATTTTACTAATTTCACATTCTGTATGAATTATTGTCTATTATCATATATTTATATTATTTTGGTCTTGTCTAATGTGCTTATTGTTACTGCATAATGTTCTCATAATTAAACAAAAGTAGCCTAACAAAACGCCTCTGCAAAACAGTCAGTGTTAATTGGACGCCAAGTCGGGTTGCAATTTAGTATGATAAGCACAATTTCTTCCAGGCCCAGTGGTACGGAAGCAATGGCCAATGTGGGGTATGTGGCGACCCCTATCAGGGGGTGCGCGATCACGAAGCTGGAGGGAAATATGCAACGGGCACCATTGTCCGAAGTTATGGCGTTGGCGAGACTATAGATATCGTCGTGGACATTACCCATGGTCAGAAAGGATGGATGGAGTTTCGCTTATGTCCCAACAATAACCCCAAGGTCCCTGTGACCCAAGACTGCTTGGACAAATATGTCCTGAGGGTGAGTGCGTTCTGTTGCTATCTTCCTTCTTATGGTTTTAATTCAAAACAAACATTTCACTAATCTTTGTATTGCTAGTCATTTGACTAGTAAATATATATGCTGTATATGTTTGAGATACTAATATCTTTTAAGTTAATTCCAATATTGTCAAAACTGTGAGTTTCAACGATTTCCAGAATGCCGATGGCTCTGGCACCAAAACCTTGTTAAACCACGGCTCTGGAAAGTACGTGATGAAGTACATTTTACCTGATGGTCTGAGCTGCTCACAGTGCGTTTTACAGTGGTTGTATGATACAGGTAAGCTTAACAATTAACTCCAATACACGGATACTATTTTCAACCGAGACACTGTCTTCAAACGCGCCCAGGAAGCAAATTTGAAATAGATGGTGATGGCTGTATTGATATTGTTAATAAGGAAAGGGGGGAGTGCATTGAAGCAACCCCCTTCTCTCTCTCTCTCTCTCTCTCTCTCTTTCTCTTTGAAGTGGTAGAAATAGTCGTCCAACCTCGGTTCAAACGTCTGTACACCCATCAAAATGATTCAATGAAACATACACACCTACCACAATATTATTATATTATAATTGTTATAGCCCACACAATGCTATATATGCAGAAACTGTTACACCTAACACAAAGTCTGCCATTAAATTTTCACAATTTGTTAAAATTGTCCACATTTTCATGTTAACAGGTAGTGTAGGAGATACCATCCCCAGGGAGCAATACGTCAACTGCGCCGATATTGCAGTCGGTACGTGTCTTATATCATTTTATTATTTGACATTTTTTGCGGTGTCGTAATATTTTAAGAACATTACCATTTTAAAATTTAAAAACAAACATGCTGCCTGCGTTTGACAAAGGGTAAGGTTAATGCACGTATATCTGTATGGTTTTTGACTTATAACCTGGAGCATTTATCTTAGTTTAAACCATTGCGCCACAGCTTGTTATTTCATTAAATGTATGTTTATAAATACATATATTGTACATATACGCGAGTCTAAATTACAGGTGGAGGTGGTACAGGGACAGGCAACACAGCAGCGCCATCTACAGGCACCGGAAATGGCGGGAATGGAGGCAGCAGCGTAATGATATGTAAAGCCATCGGCGCTTTCTTCGGGAACGCCGCTGCGGACGCGTACTGCACCAGTAACTGCTCTAGAGGGGTCTGCCCCCCTAGTGTGTGTAAATGTGTTACTTTCTAAACGGCACTCGAATCTACGGCAGCGTCAATAAAATGTTCAGTTAATTTGTTCCAACTTGTTTTCTTCTTGGATCTCGGTTCTTCTTATTTAGAATCAGTATGGTTTTATATGGAAGGGCCTTTTCATTTTGTAAGGGCAGGCAGAAATATCTTACAAGAAAATCGGTTTAATTACTTCATATCAGAAGAAAATTCCATTTTTTGTGCACTACAGGTACTTGTACTTTTAATTATCAAAGGTCAAGTTGCATAATTCC